AAGTTGGGCTGCAGAGAGTCCATCTCTCCTCGCGTCCACCCTCTCCTCCCTCTCCTCCGTGCCCTGTGCACTGACCCCGAGCGGATGAGTAGCCCGTCTGCACTAATGCCTCGCTGTCGCGTCAAACACAGAGAAAAACTTTACTACACTGAGACAGGAAAGAGGAGGCGGAGAGGGACAGAGGAGGCTGTAGTAAAGAGGGGATCTGTGAGAGAGAAACAAGTATACTAAGGAGGGGAAGAGACTATATCAATCTGCTGATTTGTACTTGTACCGGTGAGGCAAGCGGATAACACATGAGATAACACTTTTTAATAAAGGGCCATTTTAGCCACCTCTGAGCTTTTCTGTAGAGCCACCATGAAAACATCTGATGTCTCTTATACTTTTGTTAATGACAAAATATTTCCTTCAGCCGTACTTTAGTGTTACCGGTAAGTTAACACATTTTAACACGCTAAGGTTATGAACATGGTAACCATTAGCCTCTGGAGAAAACAACCAATATTTGATGGGGTTCCGGTGAGGCAGGCGTATACCGGGCCAAGCCTTTCTATTTGTTGTGCCAATTATTATTTGCAGTCAACTTCTGACCATGTCTCCTACAAAAAAACATACAGAAATTACAAGTTAACTGCACTAGAATTTAAGTTTTAAAATATGTGTTTAACTTTGTAAATTGAAACAAGACAAACCAAGACTGCAAACTAGGAAATGCATACCGCATCTTTTGCTTTTCACTTTCACCAAAGACTGCCTCCATTTAGTGTAAACAGTCAATACTACACTGACTAAAAAAGAAAAGCATTACATTTCTGTGACTTTAATCTTGACCTGTGTCTTAATTTGCATTTATATTATGTAGGTAACTGTTTAATAGAGATTATTGCACAACATATATTCGCACATTATGATATTTTTGCCATAAACTAATAATAACTGATAAATCAGCACAGCCAAATAGGTCTTGTTCTATTCCCAGTAATGGAAAGAAATGAAATCCCTGTTTAGTCTGTTGTGTTTCACACCATCCCTCCCTTCTCCTTGTCTTTTATGTTCTCCTCTCTATTTCCCAGCTCCTCCTGCTCCTCCTCTCAGTTAGTTAGTGGTGGTTAAGTGGAGGGGAAGTGAATGGGATTGATGGTGTTAGCATCTGAGCTGTTTATGATGATGATAAATGTGTGTGTGCAGGGGGCAGGGAGGAGGTGGGTGTCGATGCAGGAGTGTGTGTATGTACGTATGATGATGATGATGAATGGAGGGCTCCATTTTCACGCACTCCCAATGTCTACTGCGTGCAAACATAGAGAAATGATTCGGGCTGACACACTGTCATGTAGTCTAATGCAGTTATATATCCTATCCACCAGATGACAGACAGAGGAAGGAGGGGGGAGATGGTGGTAACGAGAGAAGGGGGAGTTGGTAAATTAATAGATGTCAGCGGATAGAAAATGAGGGAAAAAAAACAAAAGAAAGAGGGACTCCAAAATGTGCTTCTGCATTATAATTTCAGTAAAGGTCCTCTATGAAACCAAATAGTTAATTTAAACTTTTCACACTTTTTCATAGCATAACAGGTATAGCAAGTAGAATGAATACTTATTACGTGAATGTTGTTGATTACACCTGTGCTATATCTGCTAAAACATCAGTGTGAAGTGAACATGGCTAAATGATGATGTCTCAGTAAAGCATTATTTATATATTACATTAACGCGTGTTTTTAAGTTATTTCCTAAAGTCAATTAATTTATTTAAAATTTGATTAAAGATTACCACTTTAGTTTTAGTATAAATATAATTCAGATATAAAGATCAGCTCATGTAAAACGTTTTGTTTCTGGATCATGAATCCATTATTCAGTTAGCTGATTGACTGTAGACAAGCAAACATCTGAATAAGAAATGTAAACTTTAAAGCAAGTGTCAGAGCTCCTCCTAGTTTCTTACATTTAATGATAAAAAAAAGGTGACTGAATTTGGGTTTAAAAACGTTGGTTCATACAGGACCAAACATCTGAAGACATAGTTTTGGACAGGTATCAGTGAATATACTGAATATATTGGTTTATGGCAGGTTTAATATAGGACACTAAAAGTTAGGAACTAGCAGAAATAATAGAGCTACAAGCTACAAATATATGTGTGTGTTTGATTACAGGTCGAGACTTAGCCAGCACCACTCTGCCAGGCTACCCTCCTCATGTTCCTCCCACTGGACAGGGCAGCTACTCCACCCCCTCTTTAACTGGCATGGTACCAGGTGAGTGCCACGAAACGCACACCACACATACACTTTCAATGTTCCCGTTTCTCGCCACCAAAAGTTACATTTATTCTGTCATTTCTTGCCACCCATCACTTAGCAGATCTTTAACTACATACATATCTGTTAGAATTCCCGATGGATGTGTGTGTACCTTTAGGAGGTGTACTTAGCTTAGCCACTTCTTCCTTCTTGTCTGTCTACACCATGGCTGACAGTGCTCCCAGGGGGTGGCGTGTGTGTGTGTGTGTGTTTCTTAGCATGTGTGTGTATGTGTGTTTGCGTGGGTGTGTCTCTCTGTGTATCATTAGAAAGCAGCCACAGTAGCACAGCTGTCCCTCCTCAACATTAGTAATTTGTTTTTAATGAGAATCACCAGTGACCCACGACTAATTCATTCATTCCCTTCCACTCCGCCTTCTACGCTGCTTTTGTGTTTCAATCCTGGATCGACATTCTTCTTCTGTCTCTCCTCCTTTTCTCTCCCTCTCTCCTCCTCTCTCTTTTCTCTCTCTCTCTTTCTCAAAGTGCATTGCAGTGGTGGTCAAGGTTTAGTATACTGAAGATAATAAAACGGTAAAACACAAAGCAACAGAGGCAGTGAGACAAAGTCAAAATGATGTTGTTTACAAGTTCTTGTCTCAGTGTATTCCCAATCATTCACTGTAACACACACACACACACTCCTAGGCTGACAAGCACACAAACACAAACACACTCTCACACACACACACACACACACACACACACACACACACACACACACACACACACACACACATACACACACAGAGTATAGGTGAATAGAGATCACAAACTCCACTAGATGTTTGGGTGAACACATGGTGGATAAAAGTTAAGCTTGTTTTGTATCCCTCAAAAAATTCTGATATATGAAGTTAATAAAAAAAGAGGAAAATCCAGATTATCATCAAAAACTCAAAATATCGCAAAAAGTGTATACAACTAATGCAGCAGAAGAAAAACCATCAGACTTTTGTAGATTCATTAGAACATTATAAACTTCCTTAAATTGATACATGATATAAACATAAATGCCATATTTCCCCAACATTTGACTGGTGCTTGGTAACTTGAATTAAATGTTATTGTTGTTCGCCTAAAATGGTTTAATAGTACCCGTTTGGAGGAATAGTGCCATCAAGTTTTAAAGAAATTCAGGATATTCAGTTAGAAATTACCAAAAATAAGGAAGGAACCTTGACTATAGTGGCCACAGAGCACATCATATAATTATTTCATAATGCTCAATTCTGGTCTACAATTGTTCTTTCCACAAATGTTGACTTTTATAGAATGAAAAGCACAAGAGTGACTTATATTGTTTTCAGAAGTTTATTGAAATGTCTTACTGGGAACGAAGCCATAGTACGTGTTATTAGATACATCTTTGAAAAAAGCTATAATAATTCAAGATGTATATTAGGGATCTACTTTTCTTATAAAGCCATATTGCATTGACGAGAATAATAAGTCATGTATAATTAATTACACAAATGTATCCAACATTACTATGTGTGATCTGCTGTCTGTAGCACAGACACTGTGGTCGAATCTACAGTTGAAATCGAAGCTCTGTTATCTCATTAGGAGCATTATTGTTTCACTTTGTTCTCACATAACGTGCTAAACCATGTGCTACATGTGTGGTCTGTTTTTTTATACGACTGGACGTTGTGTTTCACAATTCATATTGAAAGTATTGTATCACGTTTCACTGAAGCGTCCACTAAGCATTGTGTGGCTCCGCGTCACGTTTGGCTTGTGTGTTTTATCTGCAGTGTTCCTGTGGCAGAGGTCTGAGCGGTTGGCTCTGTGGTCTAATTAACAGCATTGCTAATCACAGCTTCCATTAGAGCAGCCCCCGCTGGATAATGACACACACACACAGCACGGGGCGACAGGGGGGAACAGCATGAACTGACATGGACACACAAATACAGACACAAACACACAATAATGCAAGCTTCTCACACACAATCTCCCATATGCTTGTCGGTACAAACATTTGTACACAGAAGGAAAAATACATAAACAAGACCCACAATCACACAGCTATGTCATGTTGACTTTGTCGTTATACTGTATCTTTCTCTTAGTACGGGTGAATATGTTACATTATGCAGTAATAAGAAGGTGTTTTATAGGCCTGATAAAAAATAAGAAAACAATGTTTTTGCTGCCCAAAAAAACCCTATCAGGAAAGATCAATAAAGTCAAATGTCTGCTGCCAAAAAAAGTCAGGTAGGTTTTTGTGATATTATGTACTTGATTAATAAGATCATATCACATCTAATAATATCATATATGAACCTTTTTGCAGGAAACCTTTTATGTGTGCTGTAACCTTACAAGCATAGAAGTGGCAGCTGTGCAACTGATGGGAACACTGGAAGGCGGGATCATGTTATGTGTGTGTGTCGGCAGGAGGAGTGTGTGAGGGTAATGCCCTGTGATGACCTCTGCCCCCAGCCAAAGCGAGGGGAAGTGGGGGGAGGCTGGGGGCAAAATGTAGATGAATGGGAGTGAATGGAAGAACTTGACTTGTGGGGCCAAAAGGGGACTATTGTATCTTAACCTATTCTCTTACATAGCCTCTCTGTCTGTGTGTGTGTGTGTGTGTGTGTGTGTGTGTGTGTGTGTGTGTGTGTGTGTGTGTGTGTGTGTGTGTGTGTGTGTGTGTGTGTGTGTGTACATGCACGCTCATTTAAAATAGGTACAGGTGTGCATGTTAAAGGAATCACCTTGAATAAAAAGTATTTTCAGTTTTATTGAAGATAAATCACAAGTGTACATGTATATAAAAAGTGTCGTTTGCATGAACAAGAAAGATTTACCCAGAATGCCAAGATGACCTCTCACCCCCTTGTGCATCCACTGTGACATGCAGCAGCTTAGCAGATAAAAGATGCTGGGTGTGAGCAAAAGATGGAGGATGGAGGAGAGGAAGGAGGGGAGCTCCGCCCTTAACTTAAGAGTTTCTCTCAGTGCCTCCCGCCCCCCAAAACTTTGATCTCTGGAGTTTGTCACACACACAAACAAAAACACAAACACAAACACAAACACAAACACAAACACAAACACACACTGTGGTGTGTGGGGCGTGTGTGTGTGTGTGGTTGTGTGTGTGTGGGTGTGTGTTGTGTGTGGCGTGCTGAGTGTGTGTGTGTGTGTATGTGTGTTGTGTTGTGTGGTGTGTGTGTGTCGTGTTGTGTGGTGTGTGTGTGTGTGTGTGTGTGTGTGTGTGTGTGTGTGTGTGTGTGTGTGTTGTGTTTGTGTGTGTTGTGGTGTGCTGTGTGTGGTTGTCGTGTGTGTTTGTGTACTAGTATATGTGCCACGACCTCGTCACACTCACATACCAGGTCCAGAGACCACTGTCTGGGTTAGTCCCCCTTCTATTTCGCCATACCTACGAAATCGGACCATTGGGTGCCGCTGGGTAAATTAGGGTGGCGGTCAGGGGTACTACCTTAAGTTAACTAGTTAGTACATCGAGACTACCGTGGATAAAGTCGTTCGAATAACGAAAGACGAAGACAGAAGCTGTGTGTGTGTGTGTGTGTTGTTATGTGTGGTGTGTTGACTTACGTGTGACTTTTTCAGACTGGGTAACAGGAGAGTACTGCCTCAGCAGATTGTTTCATGTCTGGCTTCCTATGCTGTCTTCGGTTGGACATTCAAGCTCATCATTTTCGTGTAGAATGAACATTATTAGTTATATGAGGAACTACACACACACACAACCACCACACACACACACACACACACACACAACACACACAACCACCACACACCACACCACACACACACAACACACACACCACACACACACACACACACACACACACACACACACACACCCCACCCACACCCACCCCACCCACCCATCAGAACTATAGGCCCGACCAAGGAGTTAACATAGGTGACCTACCCATTTCTTTGCCGTAACTGGCAATCTGCCCAATTTAGGATGAAAGTACAAAACCTATGGCACCGCGTCCGTGTGTGTGGTTGTGTTGTGTGTGTGTGTGTGTGTCGCGGTGTGTGTGTGTGTCGTGTCGTGTCGTCGTCGTGTTGTGTTGTGTGTGTGTGTGTGTGGTTGTGTGTGTCGTCGTGTCGTGGTGTGTGTGTGTGTTTTGTGTGTCGGACGGAGATGGAGACACTCAGTCAGACGTCTTCCCTTCGCCGAAGAGGAAGGGAGAAAAAGCCTCCGTTCTTGTTTTGTTTGTTACTCCGGATAACAAGAGGAAAAAGCGGACGAGAGAAAGGTGGGAAGGTGATAGATAGAGGATTACGAGAGAGAGAGACGGGCGGGGAGATAGGGAGTCGGCAGAGGGAGACTGATCCGGACATCACCGGAAATAAAGCTGGTTGTCGTTCTTGTCACTTAATAGATTTAGGTTTATTGGACGACTCTTAATCAACAGTCCAACAGGTGGAGCAAAACGCACAAAGTCACCCGTACAAAACACACGTCCTCTTCACAACACACACACACACACACACACACACACACACACACACACACACACACACCACACACACACACACACACACCACACACACACACACCACACACACACACACACACACACCACA